CAGGTGACCAGCTTTCTAATCTCTAGTAAACTAGTTCCCACTGGCAAGTTAATCTGCCCTGTCTTCCTTCACTCTCAAGGTATCTTCATGCTAGATGATGACTGTTAGGAGACCTAATCTAAAAGAAATGAATCTCAAGAGGTGACCTTAGCAAGCACTTAGATCACCATGCAAGAAAGAAAAAAGCTAAAAATATATTTCACATAAAAAAGAAACAATGAGGGGTAAGTCTAGCATATCCTGCAGCAAGTGGTGCTACCATTTGTACCCCGTGCTACCAAGGTGGTTTTCCACTTCAGGGAAAGGTGAAATGATCAGGCACAAACCCAAACCACAACCTCCTGCAACACTAGTTGGTACCCACACAGGAAGGTAGAAGGGCAACCTAACAGGAGGCTTGGCCCCCAAACATCAGAGACTGTTTAGACTCAGAGCAGCTGCTTCCCCCACATGAGCCTCACCTAGACAGAGGTTTCAGGATACTAAGAAATAAAGGCACAGTCCCTCTTTCTCAGGATTTAGGAAGCTGGGCGATACCTGCCTGCTTCTGACCCTCTGGCTGAAGCAGCTCGAGGCCCTGTTCTGTAGCTATCCCCGGCAGCCGCACCTTGCAGCTGGTCTGTGTACACCTGGAAGATTCTGGCTCCATGCCAGGAAGGTGTTCTGAGCCCTGTCAGCAGCCTGTCCACCCAAGCATCACTGAATTCCTTTGGTCACAGAAAGCAGCCTGCGCCATTTCTTAACAGAAAGCTTTGAATGAAAGATTCTGCAAGTGTGGCATCTTTTCCTCCCTCTGCCTCTTGGGAGGAACCTGCTTGGCACCCTTGCTTACCAATATAAAGGACAAAGCTTGGGGCTGTCAAGGGTCTCAGGCCCAGAGGAGAATTTATCCATAAGAGGGTAGAGAAAATAACGGAATCGAAAGAAAGGAAGGAAGGGAGGGAGGGAGGTTGGGAGGAAGGAAGAGACAGAGGGGAAAGATGAAGGGGAGGAAGGGAGGGAGAGAGAAAAAGAGACAGAGAGACAGAGAGAGAGAGAGAGAGAGAGAGAGAGAGAGAGAGAGAATGAGAGAAAGAGAGAGAGAATGAGAGAAAGAGAGAGAGAGAGGATGTTGAACTTACAGAAACAGAGTCGAACGGTGGTTTCCAGGGACTGGCAGAGGGGACATGGGGAGACGTTGGTCAAAGGGAACAAAAATTCAGTTACGCAAAGAATAAGTTCTAAGGATCTAATGTACAAAATGATGACTGTAGTGAATAGTTCTGTATTGTACACTTGAAATTTGCTAAGAGAGTAGATCTTAAGCATTCTCACCAAAATAAATAAATAACTATATGAGGTGACGGATGTGTGAATTAACTTGATTGTGATTGTGGGAATCTTTTCACAATATATACATATATCAAATCATCACATCGTATACTTTATGCATGTTGCAATTTTATTTGTCAATTATACCACAGTAAAGCTGGGTGGAAAATAAATTAGTGCATACTTTTCCTTAAAACATAAATTTTGTTAACTATAAGATTAAATAAATTCATATTTAGTTTTTCTCAAAGCAACTTCTCAATAAAACTTTTATTTTGCACTTTAAAAAACAACAGCAACAATAACAGCCCTTTTGCTGCCTTTATCTTGAAATAGAGAGTTCCAGGGAACTCTCAGAAACGGCCCCAGCGACACAGCCACCCCTCCCGCTGAAGGGACCCCTCCTGGACCCTGCACAGCCTCAGGAATTTATGGCAAAGCCCTCTTGGCAACAACATGGTACCATTCAGGGGTGAGGACCACCAGCTCTGCCTCCTGCTGGTTCCGGTTTGCCTCCAATCCACCTGCCTCTGGTTCTCCTGGGGGCCTCTTCATGGGCTTCCTCACCGCCAGCTCTTTGCTGAACGATCAGGTGTCATGTACCAGTTACAAGCACAGATGCTAAAGCCCAACAGTCAGGTCTGAACTCCAGCTCACCATTCACTGTGTAACTTGCCCTCTGGGTGCCTCCATCGTCTCATCCAGAAAATGGGGATGTGAAAGACCTTACAGGACTAGGATGAGGACCAAATGAATTAGTATTCATAAGGTGTTATAAACAGCATCTGAACCTAAGAAACACAATGTAAGTGTTTGTTGAATAAACTGTATTATATCAGCCAACATAACAGTTCACCTCTGAATAGCAGGACTGACTTCAGGTGAAATGAGAAGGACAGGAAGTGGGCATTGATATCTTCCTGCTCCTCTCTCAAACGTGAGGCCCCTTACGAGGCAGGGTGGTGGTCCACCCTCTGCTCTCACAGCTCCAAAACCCTCCCAACTCTCACCTGCCTGCATCTCATTCCAGAAGCTGAATGCTCAGGCCAAAGGGGCCCTGAGCAGTTAATGATAGCAGTGTGGAACTTACTGGAATAAGTCTGGAGAAATTATCAACTTGTCTGCAGGCACATGCACTCACATCTCTAATGGGATGGGACAAAGGATCCCAAAGCTCCTATCAGTGCTTTGCAGGCAGAAGGGCCAGGGGGAGCACCCTGGTCCTCCCTGGTCCTCCCTGTGCTCCATTGGAGCCCTGGGCACAGCAGCACCCGGAGGTGCAAGGTTCATCCGTTCTCCCTCAGATGAGAGTAAGTTCTCCAGACCTTTTCTGGATCCTGCCAGTGAGCTTACAGCTCTGCGCACAGAATATGTCTTAATTATCGAGTCTGAGTCACCACGAGGCACTCTAATCAATGTCTCCATAATTAACCTAACCAAATGGAAAATCATAGATGTAGAACGAAAATGTGATTCTGCCTTGGTCTGTGTTTCGAGACAGACATAGCCTGAAAGGAGACGAGAGAGGTAATTATTAGAATAATTCAGACGACAACATCTAGTTTGAAAGGGAAGGACAAAGATAGTGTGCTGCCTGAGGTTTCCAGATGGACCAGCTACATTAATCACATTTGCTGGGTGAGTAATGAAAAAACATGTCCCTCACAAATATTTGTAAATACTCCCAACCGAATGATCAGCATTCAAAGCATTTGACTGACTTCATACACCGAGACAAAATATCTATTCCTATGTGAAATAACGAAATTCCCGTCCTCACAGAAACCACCCCCAACTTCAAAACCTGGCTCCACAGAGGTCGTAGCGGATTCAATATGGCAGAAACTGAGTCTTTCATTTTGAAATTTCATTATGTTAAATGTCCAGGTTCTGATGGATACATTTTTCAAATACCGAATCCATTTTTTAAATCATTTTATGGCCTTTCTAAAACATATTCTTCTTCTTGTCTCTTCACGGTTTAGCTTTACCCTTGGAGTCTTAGGATCAACCCCCTAGCATCACCAACAGATGGAGCAGAACCTGGGGGCGGGGCGGTTAAGAACTGTGCAGATGCTTGTCCCTTCCAGAAAGCGGCCGGAGACTGCTGAGTGTCTTTAATTCTTCTGTCTCCAGGGTCTGCTGTCAGGAGTTATGTAACACTCTTCAGTGCTGTCCTTGTATTTCACCTACGTAAGCAGTTTAATTACACTGAAGGTCATGCACCGACTGTGTGAATTTCCTTTCGTTTTGTTTTTCCAACAGGCACCTCACATTCTTGGCTTCAGAAGAGTTCTTATCTTAATCCTTGAAATCAAAGGAATGACACCTTCCTGGACTAATTCTTCCTCCAAAATCCGTGGGACTTCTGAAACCATCAAATTCGCCACCCAAACAGGAAACTTGTCTAAAACATCCTCCCACCAGACTATCATTCATCCCTGATGGAAATCTCAAAATGGCAAAGAGTCCACAGCTCTATACAGCAGGCCATCCTATTTGTAGCC